TACTACCTACTACTACTACTACTACTACTACTACTACTACTACTACTACTACTACTACTACTACTACTACTACTACTAGCCACCCCCCCCCCCCTCCCAACTACACTTGTTCCATCCGGGCTGGGCAGCGGTAGCTGCTAGGCGCCTTAACTGCGATAGTTGCAGAAGATGCACGGGCTCAGGCTCCTTATCTGTGACAGCTGCAGAAGATGCAGAGGCTCAGTTTCCTTAACTGTCACAGCCGGTGAAGTTGCAGGGGCTCAGGCCCCAAAACTGCCACAGCAGCTGGAGTTGCAAGCTCGACGGGGAAGAAACTGATAAACCCCACGTGGTCGGATAGTACGAAAACGCTGTAAATACCATGTAAAACCCAGGTGCTGCCAACAAGGGTTTAACGTTTCTAAAACCTGAAGCGCAACATCTTCTGAACATCAAAAACAAAGATGCCAGCTGTACGTGGGAGGGGCTCGCCAACACCCCTACCGCCCAACCTCTGCGTAGGAGGGTCTGTTTTTGAAGTGGTGTGTGTGGTGTGTGCGCGCTTGAGTGTGGAAATATTGTTCAGGGTGTCCGCAAAACAGTGTCGTGATCATCCCCGAAGAAGCTTTCCCCCACCCAATTTCGAGTTGTTTTGCAAACAGTTCCAAAGAGCAAAGTTTAATACGCATAGTCGAGAAGTAGGGGCTCAGAATATGTAACAAAGTCTGACATCACGAAAGTACCGTAAATACCGAGTTAAACGGCTCTTGTGGTGATACTGCTGGGTGTGTTCGCGTAACACTGTCGTCATCATCCCCCCCCCACCCCCCCACCCACCCCCAGAAGCAAGTCCAAAATCAAGAGCCCGAGTTTGCAAACTCGACAAGTCGATTTTTGGGCCTCTTAGGATGATCGCACATGACGAAAGTGCCGTAAATACCGAGTAAAATGGATGTTGTCTTAACATGGTTGAGAGCAAGTGTAGTTGGTAGGGGGGGTGCCTACTACTACTACTACTACTACTACTACTACTACTACTACTACTACTACTACTACTACTACTACTACTACTACTACTACTAATGCTAATAGTAATGTCTGGGATTGGCAGCTAGAAGGCCGGGCAGAGAGCAGCTATCTCGAGCACTTGCTGGTCTCTGCACTGGCCTGCCCGTCAACCGCATAAACGTTCATGACCAAGTAGTGCCTCGTTCCACAGGAGCAGCTGAAAGCTGCAAAAAAAGAGGCACCAACAGCCAAACAAGGGCGGGAAAGCAAGAACCAAGCAAAAGACAACAAACGAAAGACAGAACAGGAAAAACACAAACTGAGTAAGACGAAAACTGGAAGGCAAATTCAACGACGAAGCCACAACACAGACCTCCACCAGGAAATGCTCAAACCCAGGCTCCCTGCTCCAGCGGGCAGCCGATGAGCCAGGGGATGAACTTGTCATAAAGCGGCAAGGGCTCCTGCAGCTTCACATCAAGCCTTCATGCAGCTGCGCGCCTGCTGTTTTCAAAACCAACTGCGACTTTAGATTCAGATGTTTCGGTTTTCTGATTAAGGATTTCAGCAGATCTGAACCAAGTACCCAAAATCCCTGGTGCCAACTGACGCATTGAGCCTCAACAGCCTTGTGATCCCTTCGCCCAAACGGCCTCACCCGCATCCGGCATTGGTGATTAGCCCCCCGCAAGTCGAAGCGGGAAAGTCCTTCGCCATCATCGGGCTCGGTGGGATGGCGCAGGTGACCACGAGCATGGCCTCAGCAGTCTTAGCATGCTAGGAACCGGCCCGAAATCACAAAGCAACCCTAAACCAGCCTTAGAGTCTATATTCTTAAACGAATCCTCACAGCAATCCTAGAGTACTCCTATCGTAGCCTCCTGTTCTCCTCTAGCCCGTGCCCACAAAAAAAAAGGGAAGGAAACGGCGAGGCCCAACTTACCTTTGCTTAGTAGGGAATGGAGGAATGGGGTACAATTAGAACTACTATTACTACCATTCTTCCATTCCCTACTAACCAGAGGTAAGAGATTCGAATTATTGAGGCCTCGATATTATAATACCCTTATAGAGCCCCTTCTAGCAGCCCTTATAGACCCCTTTAAAGGAACCCTACCCCTAATGAATCCCAAGGTAAGCCAAGGGGCCCAGAAGGCGTCGTCTTCGGCCTTGGAGCTCGGGATGTCCTCGAAGGCCAGCGCCGCCTCCCAGGGGCTCTGGAGCTTGGGGTTTGGGGGTTCAGGGTTTAGGGGTTTAGGGCTTGGGTTTAGGGGTTTAGGGGTTTAGTGGTTTCGGGGTTTAAGGGGGTTTAGGGTTCTTAGAATTTGGAGTTTAGGGTTTAAGACTTGGGGTTTAGGTTTTAAGGCGTCCTATGACGATTTACGATACCTAGCTCAGCGACAGGAGGTTACGAAAGAAGAAAGATAGTATGATAGTACCGCAAGGTAGGACGGACAAGATCCACTTACGGCGCAGGATTCGTTTGGATTTGTAGGGCTTGGGGCCACGACTCTCCGTCCTCCCATCGCTCCCCCCCTTAATCGAACCGGGAATCGCTTTGCGGGTTGAGGATTCCGGAGGGCGTGTGGTGGCTACTCCGGGATGAGCTTCAGATGAGGACTTTCAGGTCATCGCTGCTGCGCTGACAGCTTGCGCTGCCGCTCGTTCGGCACGGCTACAGCTTGAAGAGTTTTCCGCCCAAAACCTGTTCCCTAAACTGCTTTCAAAGGTCTACCCCCGCTGATATGCTGACACTAAACCGTCTCTGAAGTCTTCAGAGCTTCGCGTCGGATATACGAAAAGAGAAACTACCGCAGATTCGGCTCGCCTGGCTCTTAAACTTCGGCGGCTCTGCCTTGGCGTGTGAAGATCAAAAGTCAGATAGTGTCATTGCTGCTGTCCGGCACAACGGTATATATATATATATATATATGTCTATTATTATGTACATTTGTAGATGAAAGCTGCATACTTGTGCATATGCATGTATGTATGTATGTGCATATATGCGCATGACTCTAAGCGTGTATACGTAGGTATATACTGACAGTATGCATGTGCTCATCCATGAATCCTGCAGGTGATTCTTCACACATTCATCGACCTGCTTACGGTACTCATGTATTTTAACTTGTTGGTGGCCATTCTTTTCTTTCCCTTGTATCCTTGTCTTGTGATTCTCAGAATTGCAGGTGCCACTGTTACTTTCGGCTCCGTTCTTCCCCGGTTGCAGGGCAGCTCTCAGACTGAAGCAAAGCCTAATTCTGACACATTTGAGGCCTGCGCCCAAGCAGCCTCGAAGCCACACTGACACTGTACGTCTAAAGACAGAACAGATCCCGACCAAAAGCTAAACTCTTTTCGGGATTCAACACTAGACATTGAGCTGAAAACTGGAGCAAGGCAACCCCCTCAACCGATATGCTAAAATGCTCAGCTCCTGAAATCTGGCTCCTGATTTCCTACTAGCCCGCAACCCCCAAATCCAAACCACCAACCCAACCACCCAAGAACAAACTCCTCGACCCTACTACAAGAGCGCCCCCTGCTCAAAAGCGGCTCCTGTCTTGGGGCCCCGAGCAGAGGAGCAGGCGTGCCACTCCAGCCCCGGAGCTCCGGAGTTGATGATGGTCAGGCGGTAGGTCTGCCGGCGATTGGGTTGTCATCAGGATCACTGTCAGGGTCATTGCTATAAGGTTCCCATGGGAGGTGCTATGAGGAAGCTGTCGGATGCGTAAGGCTTAAGTTTAGGGGTTTAGGGTTGAGAACGTGAAGGGTTCAGGCTTTGAGTCTACGCAAATACGTAGAGCTGAGGGGTTGAGGGGTGCGGGGCCAGGGCTTCTCGAGATACATACATGCAAACATACATACACACATACAGACATATAGAGATACAGACATACAAGATGGACAAACAAAAACACATTGGCATGTAGACCGCCATCTATCCGACTTACTGATACCCTCTGGTTGCTCCACTCTTTCATGCAACTGCGGCTACGATATTCTATAGTCTATACTGAATGGCTATATTGCCCTGCTCTCACTCTTTTCTTGGAGAAAACCCTCCCGACTACCCAAGAGCCTGAACTGGTCCAGCCAATGTGCCGAGCTCAAGCGAACGGCAACCTTGAGCACCCAGCCTGAGCATCCTTCTTCTCGAGAATCATCAGGATCATCCTTGCTCTGCGAGGCCACAAGTCATCCCACTCGCAGCACGACAAAAGATTTCGATCAAAACGTCTTGGTACAGAAAGCTGAAAGAGGTCTAGGTTCGAGATTGTGGAGCAAAAAATCTTTGCGAACCCTGAAAAGCCGGATCCTGAGTTGCAGAGTCAAAGCTCGCCCAGAGCCGAGGCCCACGCTGGGAGCCTTCGTTGATGGTCTTTATGCCCAATGGTATGAGCAAGCCTGGGGAATCGGAAGAACGGCAACGACTGGCTGTTTTTGGCACATATAGCTGCAACAATTCAACATCAAGCACGCTGCTCGTTCCCTGGCGCGGCTCCACCGAAAAACAATTAAAGCTCCGAGCCTCTAAACCAGGAACTAAAAACAACAGGCTTACAAAAGAATGCAGTCGAAAGCCTAAACTCTACACTACTCACTACTCGTATACGTCACTATACCTTCCATCCAACAAGGCCAAAGGCCCCAACTCTGAGCCCTGAAGAACCCTCAGCCTTCCTGCGATCTTCCCCAAGGTTCCCACTTCCGCCTTGGGTACCTCAGTGACAAGAGACTGAGGCTGAAGTTCAGCCTTGGGTTTTGGTTTAGGATTGGTGTCTACGGCGGATCACGGGGGTTTCACTGCCGGCTCCACGCACAGGTTGTCTTGATCTCCCTAGTCGCGCTACTGAACATCAACTGCACGGCAAACGCAAGCTCAGGGGCTGGCGAAGGTTCTGCCGCACAGTTTGCAGCCTCCGGACGTAGGAAGCAGCAAGAGAGGGTACGGCGTGATCCTGGTTCGGCGGCAATTTTGGGCTCAGGGCTTCGGATGGCTTCTGCTCTCAGACTTCCTGGCTGTGTGCAATCAACAGGCTCTCCCCGAAATCGAAGGGGTGCGGAGAAGCCCGATGCAAGCTCAACAACCGCCATTGTAGTAAAACCGATAGCGGTAGCAGTCGCCTGCGCCGTCGTGTAACAGTAACAGGTAGCAGGTAGCAGTAGCAGTTGCGGTAGTAGCAGCAGCAGTAGCAGCAGGGGCAGTAGAAGAAGAAGAACTTCTTGCTGTTGCGGTTGTTGTGTTGTTGGTGAGGGTGGTGAGGGTGGTGAGGGTGGTGAGGGGCCATGAATGCCGTCACTCTTACGCAGCCTTGCAGAGCCTTGATACAATTTCGTGATAAAAAGCCTTCCCTCAGCCTGTCCTCTGCTGTCCAAAGTGGCTGCCACTTCTTGAACAATGGCTCTGACCTGTCTGCACAAGACAAGCTTGTGTAGGGCTTCAGGACATGGTCTTGGAGCGCCGGCAATCTTGAGGCATGACGACGCCCACTGCCGAGTCGGTTTCCAGCATACAGAAAATCAAGCCGGACTAGCGAAGATCTGGCGATGTGAGGGGACCCTGCAGAAGAGCTCCCTCGTGTGTCCCCGCATGCAGGGTCCCAAAACTTCCCGAAGGAGCTTCCGTTGAAGTCGAGCGTGCCTCTGAAACAGCTCGGTGATATTGTAGAGGGTCGTCTGCTGCTCGGTCGACCTGCACGAAACCCACTACCAAAAAAAGAAGCTCATCCGATCCGCTCCTCCCGAAATGCTTCGACAAAAACCCGATTCTCTCCGTGCTGAGTGCCGCACCACAGGGGTGGACCGCCGGCAGGGCTTTCACCTGATTAGGGTATGAAGAGTTAAAAGGGTGCGGCGTCAAGCGAGGTTCATTTGCAACTTCGGCGTTTAGGTACGCGCGGCAGCACCGGTTCAGCGGGAAAGGATTTGCATTGCCGTGGCACTGCAACCACATCCAGGAACATGTGCTTCATGAGGTTCGACGCCTCAAAACCCTTATCTTCGACACCTTCACAGCCCAAACCTCAAGTCGCTCCGCCCTAGCAGCAGCACACTGGGCGATCGCACCGATGCTTTTGCACGCACCCTCCAGGCCCAGCGTGAAGGACCGCAGCAGGTGGACCAAGTCGCCGCCTGCACCTGTACTCCAAGGCTTCTGAGTCTAGCGGTGCATGTGTTCATGACTCCGGGCTTCAGGGCAATTTTGGCTTAAGCATCTGAGGCTGGTGCTGTTGATGAAGCAGTCCGCAAACTCGCAGAGGAATGAGCCGTGCAGCCAAAGGACGGGAGCTGCCCTCAGTTGAAGCGCCGGGCACTCTGCGCTGCAGATTCGGATTCTTTGTTTTCTTCTGTTTGCGGTAGTTAGGGTTTAGGGCTCCGTACTTTCTAGACTTTGGGGTTTCAGTGTGAAGGAGGACCCGAAGCTGCGCAATAGACGCATCTTCGTCCTCAGCAGGACTCTTTGCCAGGTGCCCGGCTTCTTCATAGCCGAACCTCACAGACACGGGTCAGGAGCACGATGCAAGTATGAACAACGACAGTGCAACGTGCTGCTGGCTCCTGCAGCGGTTGGCACGATAAGTGATGATACCAAAACACATCTTCATCTAGCAAAGAACACCAGCGGCATGCTTGCCAACTCACCACGAGCATCAGCAAAAGCCCTGGAAAAATCCGCCGGGGCAAAGGCTGAGTGCGAGCTGCTGCGGAGGAGGCTTCTTTTCCCGCTGGTAGCGGGAGTTCAAGTACTGCTCCTGTCAGCTTCCAAGCGTCCGACCTTTCCCTGAAAGGTTAGAAGAAACACGGGTTCAGTTGTAAACTTTTGAATGAAGCTCCAAACCCAAGCCTTCAGGTCTCATGACATCCACACCGGGACCCGACGGCCCACCTCGACCTGCTGGCTGCCAAGCATGGTGTTGTAGAAAGTGATCCGCCGCCTTGGAACTCGAAGAAGCCAACAGCGCCAGTGCCCGGAGCGGGATGCGAGGTTTGGGCCTTCAGGGCTCCTAGGGCTTGGGGTTGCGGCTAACAGCCTACCTGACAGCGACGCCAAGGTCTGACACTGCCCAGACGCGCCAGACTCCTCAGAACAGTACTTGGCAGCGGGCAACATCAGACCCCCTGGCATTCCACGCGCACTGCTGCTGGCGAAGAGGAGAAATCCACCCTGACACATCTGGGTTTAGAGTTTAAAGACTGTCCCGAGAAGGTTCCCAGGCTTCAAAGAATGAAATGTCAGAGACGGTATGATGGTGGAAGACGCTGGCAAACTATACGGCGAAAACCGAGTATTCACCTTGAGGTATGCAGGTCGCCATGCAGCACGTACAGCTGTTGCCAAACTGATACTTCTTCTTAGCCAGGGAGCTGCAGACTGGGACTGTGCCGAGCTGGCTGGCTTTTGGAAAACGAGATATGGCACGTGGCAGCAATGTTCTGAGGCTGCGAGCAGCTGTAAGCCCAGGTACAAATCGGCTGCAAGAATAGAGCCTGGAAAACTCGAAGCCATGTAAAGTACGGCTTTCTGAGACTCTGCACCCCTTACAGAAAACTTTAAACTTCCCTGGAACCTGCAGGGCTCTATTCCGGCTCCCACCTGCGGCACGGCATAGGGCGAGATGGTAGCGGAGAGGCTGGAAGCCAACATGTCCAGGGGGCTCACTGGACCTCGTGACGGGAGAAAGGCTCGCAAAGCTTGGGGCTTGAGCTCGGCTGCTTTTCGTACGATTATTGTCATCATTATCGTCATCATTACTGTTGCTAGTCTTGCCATTCTTCTTATTATTGTTGATATTATTGAGAGTTGAGCGCTTGGGGGAGGCGGCCAGTTTGGGGAGTTCAAGCTGGAAGCAATCCACATCGCTTGGCTGATCGTTCATGCTGTCGGCATCCTCGCTTGCAGGCTTGCAGCTCCACAGAACCGAGACCCGGATTTTTTGAGCTACCCTGTTTAAGCATGTCATTGATTGGCTCGCATGCCACATTCAGCCGTAACTGGACTGTTCGATGCACTTGGATTGAAACCCTCGCTCTCAACTCGAAGCATCAGGTCTATCTTCAAACACTCCAAGCTAAGCCTCAACACAACAGATCTCTCTTTAAACACCTTGAACCCTAAATGCTAAAAAATTCTGAGGCCCTACTGCCTTCAAATCCAAGTGGAAGTGCACTGAGCTGCAGGGTGCGCCCCTGCGCGTCAGTCGCGGATTTCCGCAAACTCGGCCGGGACGGATTTGCTCTCTTTAAAGAGCACTGCCGGCTGGCGGGAAATCGTGCTGTAGCTGCATGGGAGTTTCTGAAAATTAGGGGTACCTTCAGGGTACTATATTAGGGTCCCCTATTTTCGGAAATCCCCGTATAAACATAGGTCCGCGACCACAAAACTGTCACTGCAGTGAAACGTGCTCCACCAGAAGTGCTGTCACGGAGCTTCTCCCTGGCCCCAAAGCCTGACAACCCCCAAGCCGTTCAGACTTTCAATCCTGATACTGATAGTAGCCAAGGAGCCCCATAGCCCCATAAGAAGACACCCCTAAACCTACGGTTGGGGACTGTGTGGGATCAGCTCACTCCCAGTGGTGCACGAGGATTACGGCCTCGGACACGGGCTTGTCCCAGAGATGCTTGTTGGATTGCTCGGCTTGCGGAATGGCTCATTGAGTCTTCTACACTCACATCTGCTGCCAGAGATGCTTGCTAGCATGAGAACCACCTCTGTCACAAGACTTTCGTTGATCCGATCACTGCGCCTTTTCCTGCGACTACCACCAGCATGACGATGCCGCTTCCGTACATGGCGACAACGAGAACGACAACGACTCTCGACCGTTCTTCGTTCTTTTTTCTCCTCTCAACGGAGTGTTTCTTGCCACGCTTACTCCAACCGGTGCTTCGGCTTACTCTTATCATCGCCTTTAAGTTGTGGCTGCTCCCGGGTACTGTGGATGTTCACTGCCAGTTGCTGCTGGCCGGACATCGATAAGGCACGCTCCTGCTTCCCGAGTCATCCTCAAAAGGGTGATTTTCGACGTCTTTGTTGCGTGAAGCAGTGCACTGTCTGCATGACACCTGTGCTTTGGAAATGCCGAGAAGCCCTGCCCCTCCAAGCAAAATCCCTAAAGCCTGAACTACCCGAAACCTTAACTCCCAAAAACTCTGAGGTCCGGTCTGTACCAATGATGGTAAACAGCACGCCGCTAAAGGCGGTGACTGCGCCCGCAGCCTGGGCAAGGCGCAGCTTCCAGTACCTCGGCGGCTTCTCCCTTTTTTTCTGCCCCACATGGCCTGGGCGCACCTGCAGATTGGGTGTCAATGGCTTTGAAGAATGAAAAGAGCGACAAATGACTCGTCCCTCCCTCGGATTTTGAGGGTTTCAGAATTTTGGATGGGCCTGCTTCCTGAAACAACCGCGCTGACAACTCGAAGGCCCGAAGACTGGAACGCAAAAGAAACCGTTGGACCCCGAACCCCAAACCCCAAACCAACCAACCTAAACCCAAACCCCACCCTGAGCCCCAAATCCGAAACTCCCCTTAACCCCAAATTCTAAACCCCCCTAAGCCCCAAATCCTAAACCCCCACCCTAAGCCCCAAAATCCGAAACTTCCCCCTAACCCAACCCCAGGAAGAGCTCAAGACTTCGCCCCCTCTTCCGCCCGAAGTGCAGCGCAGGGCCAGGTTTAGGAGCTCCTCGGACAGAGCCCACAGGGTACAAATTATATATTATTGCTGTATGATTATGATTGTTATTATTATTATGACTATTGTTAGCATTATTATTACTACTATTATTATTGCTATTAGTATTACTGTAGTATTGTATTATGGTATACTATGGTATACTATTGCTATATTATTGATAGATTGTGTGTATACTATGGTATATTATTATAGTATCTTCGTTCATCTTATAAGATTTAGAGCACATGATAGTATATCATGGTAACCGTACATTACAGGAGACCACAGTATGTTAGAGCATATACCATATACAATACGTTCTGCTTCGGGAAAAAGTGTATTTTGCAGCTTGCAAAGGCAGAGGCCAATACAACAAAGCGCCCGCAAACTGTTGAGGGCTGTCAGTTGGGGTCTCATATAAGGGGCAATATGGCTGTAATAATTTCAATTGGAGTAGGGTTTCCGGTTGCCTGAAGCACCTTCGTAGAAGCTCAAACCCAAGCAGGCGAAGCTCCGCAGATCACATCTAGAAGTCCTGCTGCTACCCCCCGTGACATACCCTCCGGAACAACCTCCCTTCAAAAGCAAATCCGAAGCCCCCGTGTTGCTTGCGGGCGCCTTTTCCCAGGAGCGGCTGTGGCAGACCCACCCGGCTCCGGAGCTGCACCGACACCGTCAGGAAGAAGAGCAGACCGGGGAGGAAGAAGCAGGTCAAACCTTGAGAGGTTCTGTAGGGGCTCTTTGTAAGATACTGTAGGGGTTCTGTAAGGGTTACAATCCGGGTTCTATGAAGGTTCTATGAGGGTCACTATACGGTTTACTACAGGGGTTCGTGGGACTTTAATGACACTCATGGGGTTCATGAGGGCTAAAAAGTGTTCCACGATGAAGCAAGGCTTCAGGGCCTTCATGGGTTCAAGTTTAAGGGCTTCAGGCTGTAGGCCTTATGTTGAGGACCAAGGGGTGGTGGGTCTTTCGGGGTATTTTGGTTTGGGCTCCAGGGGTATAGGGGAACTATGCTCCGAGGATAAACGTCTAGGACCAGTCTCCCAAGCTGCAACGCACATGAAACTCGGTGAGCCGGGTTGCATCCCATCACAGAACCAGCCAGAGCATTGGCCACACCCACATCTTCACAGCGGATGGCAATGATGTAGGTCCTGCAGGGCTTTGGACGGATGGTGCGAGAACTGAAGATGTAAGCCTGGCTTCTTCAGACACTCGTCCCGGTCCTAGGTACACCAGATCTCCAGCGAAGAAACCAGAAACGCCCAACATGCCCGCTGCAAAAGCAGCGAAGCTTTGAGGAAGGCCTACACTCCCAAACTTTACTTCCAAGAACCCCACAATCAGAACGTCTTTCCCAAAGTAACTTCCACACACCCCCGGTCAGGAACACCAGCGCGAAAGTGGTCTTCGTGCCCGGCTGGTGACTCCTGGATCATGGTCTACTAAGCGCAGGAGTCGGAAGCTACAATGGTACACGTGGGTTTAGGGTGCAAGGATTAAGGTTTCCAGGTTTGAGGGTTTGTGAGGGAATCAAGGCTGCAGGGTATGAGCTTTTCAAGGCACTAAGCCGAAGATAAGAGAGGTTGGAAAGAGAGTAAGAGAAAAGAACCAAAAAGCCACAGAGACAAGCAGAGAGAGTGAGAGACAGAGAGACCAACACAACCGAGAACAAACTGGCACAGAACCAAAGATGAGCCAAGCAGCGTAGAACAAAGCCAGTCGAAAGAAAGGTAGACTCAGATGTAGAGACAGAGAAGAGATCTCTAGGCACGAGTATACGTATGCACAAAACCGCCTCTTCTTGGCTGGAGGGCTTCGGGGTGAGCGGCGCCACCCACTGTTCCAGGCGGCCTGTGCGGAATTGCGGCACGAAGATGTCGGACTCAACGGTTGGGGGTTAAACATGGCTAAACCCTCAACTGCCAATGTACTAGTACATTCGGGTTTAGGACATATGTACGTACGTACGTAGGTATGTATGTATAGTATGTGTTGTGATGTGTATCACATACATCTACATATAACATATATGTATATGCGTCGTATGAACAGACATGTATGTATACTTGTGTGTTTATGTCTGACTGTTCATCTGAATTGTAAATGTATGTATCCAGCTTTCTGCTGTTTGTTGGGTTGACTATTCATATATCTATATATATATATATAACACAATTGTGCACAGATTGTATTTTGCTCTTTATTCATATTCTTTCGCACATAGACTTCTCTCTTCAACGGGGCCTGGAGATGCTGCAATCGCGAGCTGAAGGCCTCGCAAAGCGCCGAGCCGCAAGATGTTGCCTGGAGCACAAGTATTACCCTCGTTGCAAGTGTAATCAGCGTAGTAACCCGTAAAAGTTTCCCTAAACCCTAGCCCAAAAAATCTCCCACAAAATGGTGGTGCGCTTGTGATTCTTGGGGTTTTAGGGCCGCGAGACTGAGATGAGACCGGTTTAGGGCTGAGAAGGGCTTAAGTTTGCCTAACTCTCGCCCCTCGCATGCTAGAACTTCCCCGCAAACCTGCCAACCTTGCCGCCCTACAACTTGGCTCCGAGGCACCCGGAGCTGCTCTTGGGCCATGCTAAGCAGATGTGTGGCAGCCTGCACGTTGCAACTTACTGCTAGACTCTGGGTCTTGGAGGCTTCAAGTAGAAGCCACCAAACGGGACGTGGTGGCAGAAGGCTAATGTTTGAGTCAACGGGGCAGCGGCTACCCAAAGCCTTACTCTTACGTCGTAGGTGGGAGATTGCTTGCTGGGTGGAAGAGGCATCTACAATAGTGCTGGACAGGGTAGATCATTCGTGGAAGCGCCTGGGACACAAGGACTGCCGCATGGGGGACGGGATGGGAGGAGTGGTCAATACGGGACCGTACCTGAGCCATGGCTTTCGAATCTATTTGATGGCCCTTGGAATAACCACAACCCTCAGGTGATCCACCTCGCGTGCCGAGTTGAAGACGAGTGGATAGGTGAAGGCAATGGAAAAACCCATACCCAGCCAGGCGATCAACACGTGCATGTAGGGCCCATAGTTCCTGTGCTTTCACGGAATACGAGGTGTGCTTGAGGGTCTCGGGATCCACACTCGAACACAACACAGAACTCCCTCGTAAGGTGATCCCCGACGTCTGGGCAGGGGTAGTCAGTTTTTGCTGAACAGGCAAGTTTCTTTAGGATGTTGCCCTGGACCTCGTGCTCGAAACGTCGGAAACCTGCCCAAGCGAACTCAGCATATACCACGAAAGCGATGCCATATGCAATCGCTACCAAGAGGGTCCAGCGCTCGTAAGTTGGGTTTGCCAGTTCTGCAAAGACCTTCGGTGCATTGTAGTGGGCGACGAAAGCATTCGTGTAGAGAGAGATGGCCTCAAAAATACCCATATTCCATTCGCACAGCGGGGTGTCGTGACTGATGCTGGTGGAGTTCATCCAGGAGTCATGGATGACTAGGATCACAACATAGACCAAAACCCCGAGACCGAGAATGGAGGTGTACGCCAATACGTGCAGGTCCCTTGCTGAAGACAGAGGAAGCAAAACCATGGCTGTGATGACAGTTTGATTTAGCACCCGGCTCTTTGTGAGCAGGTGGTCCGGACCCAACAATCCAAGGAACGACTTGGTCATGAAGTCGCCGATCAAGATAATGTAGCAAACCAGCGTAATCCAGCCATTCAGAAAGATGATAACATCGATCAGCCATGCAGTTTTGGCGCTCAAAAGTTTGTTCCAAAGCTCTCTAAACGACTTTGCCTTGCAGGTAATGCATGAATACCCAACCATCCAATAGGATCCAGCACTGAGAATGCCGATGATCCTTGGAAGTCGCCCGTAACACTTGAGCACTTCGGTTGGCTCGTGGTTCGTTTGTGGGGTTTCTCTCCTCTCCGTCGTTCTCTCAATTCATCTTGCTTATTTGTCTATACATACATACATTTGTCCATCCCTCCGCCCGCCCGTCCGTCCGTCTGCCCATCAGTGCATGCAGACATGCTGGTGCCAGCCGTGGCCAACCTATGCTAGCCACGCCGATTCAATGAACCGTGCACAGCACTTGTACTCAGCTGGTTTGCGCGCCTTGCTGGTTGCAGAATGAGGTGGGGCCCTTCCCCAAAGCCGAGACACCCGAACTGCCCACGAAACACCCAACAATCCACTTCCTCACCACCCCTCGACCTAAAACGCGTCTGAGTCTCCCCAACACCACCAGGCCCGGGAGCGGACTGGCATAGCGGAGGCCGATGGGCAGCGAGAAGATGCCCGCGCCAATCCTTCATCGTCGAGATTGGATTTCAGGGTGACGGCTGAACGCCTCTTTTCCACCAACCGATCTAGGTTGGTTGAAACCCGCATTTGTGGGAGGCTAGGGTGACGGGTTCAGGGTTTAGGGTTCGCTTCAAGGATTCTTTTCTCTAAGGGTATGCTGATGTTGGTGGCTTTACCGGATTTGGGGGAGGCTTCGGTTTCGGGCGCAGGGCTGGAACTCAAGGGTTCGGGGCAGTTGGAGGGTTTCAGGGTTCAACCCGGCCTTTGCGAGCTTTGCTTTTGTTCTGGCTTTGCTGGTCTGTGGGTTGTGGCCTTCCAATGACTGGGCGTCGAAGTTGTGCTTAAGGCCGGCAAGTCGGCTGGCGGGTTTAGCAGCTTGGAGTGGTCTGATACAGAGGGTTGAGGCTTGGAAACCAGGTTGCCGATGTCTCCGTTTAGCTTTGTGATGCCGCAAGACAGCATAGATCATAAGAGGTTAGTGGCTGTTGCGGATTGTGGGCCCAGACAGCTGCTCCGAGAGAGGCTAGAGCCTGTGCCTGCCATATCTGATCCGTCCAAGCTGCATATTCTTCAGGAGGGTCGTGACCTCAGTGCAGGAGGCCAAGCTAAACCATGAACCGGCTAGGCCTCGTTGCTTCTGAGGGTGCAAAGAGGCACGATGCTGAAACACAGATCTTTCAATCCAAGAAGGAAAAACAGGAGTTGCCTACTGCATACTCTTCTGACGGCTTCTACATGACGATGTTAGCAAGACAGCTTCGAGGCTTTGCTGGTAAGCTGAGCAAGCAGCTTATGACCACCCGAATCCTCTCGGGGGCCTTGAACCTTAAACCCAACAGAAGAACCGCAGAATCAACATGCTCTCAACGGCCCAAGTCCCAGCTGCCATCTGCGGTTTATGTACATCCGCCTAGTTTGGCGGCTTTAAAAACTCCAATATCGCAGGTGCCGATTTAAGGTTTGGGGTTTTGAGGCCCCGGCTGTCAAAGCTATCGACGAACCATTGGTGCCGTCTGCTCTTGTCGGATCTGACCTCCTGCTGGAAAACTCGACCCTGTTGTCAGTTTAGGCCTGGTTCTGAAATTGGTGCTAGAGCCTGCAAGGGTACCAGAATATAGACAGGGATACGCGAATACATAAAGCTCCTGCAAAGGTTCCACCAGCAGATTCACAGAAACTCCCCCAACCCCCTGGCAGGCTAGCAAATGCCGAGATGAGCTGCCGGGGGAAGCGGGTTCAAAGGCCATCCAGCTTTGGGCTTTTTGGGCCAGCAGCGCGGGTAGCAACGTGAGCCCTGGGTACTCTGAACCTGAGATCCCGATCCTGACCGGCCCGGTGCTTGGGGACGACATCACGAGCGATGCAATGAGCAAAGATACAAATTATGCTTGAGCCTGCCAACGGAGAGGCGTGTTTCATGCAGCCCTGGCCGTACAGCTAAGCAGTGATGTCAGGAATCAGCCGGCTGCATCCCACTGCCAATACTCCCAAGTTCGCCTGAAAACTGGTAATGGGGCCCCCGACCCTGCACCCGGCGGCCCGCATCGTCGGTGCCCAGACCCCCGGCAGTGATGCCTAAGGAAAGAGCCGCCGTTTCTACTGCGCTACTCGTAATTTAGAAGGTTTCCGGTCTCCGGTTTCGGTTTGGTGTCGAAGGTGCTTGGAAACTTTCTTCTGTGTTTATGCATCCTTCGAAGAAAGCCAGGTTGGCTGGGCCAGGCGTCCCGAGCCTGGTTTCCACGATTCAGGAGATTGTTTATCTCAACAACACATTTCTGACTTGCCCTTCGGCAGAACTGAACCCTTTATCCCCAATCAACCACCCCATCAACGTGAGCACTGGCAACAAATTGCGATACATGCCGAGCAAAAGCGATCCGATGGGACCACGCCTTTTCTGGACTTGCAGACAGAATGCGGTACGAAAGCACTGGGCTCCACTGTCAGCACGTCGGATATACCGAACTCGACAGACTGTCGAGGAGAGAACAAGGAGCAGAGCTTTTGAGCGTTTAGGCTTCAGGAAGGTCCCAGACTCCCCAGCACAACCCCAGGAAAGTCCATCGGTCCCGGGCCGATGTTGATCTCCTTCTCTGTTGCTTGGATACCGTCCAGGAAGATGAGCACCTGGAAGATTTCAGGGTCTCCAGCTTGCGGTGCCGGTGTAGAGACGGCAAGAACAGTCCTTGTTAGCTAACTGCATGAATGGACTTCACAGTTCTGTCAATGCTGTACTGTACACATGATCATCCGTACATACAGTCATGCATGAATGAATACATACTTCCTTGCTTACCTACATACTTACTAACCAACTTGTACTTACACACTTGCATCCTTACATATTTACGTACTTACTTGCATCCATACCCACAAACACTTGCTGATACTAGTGGTTCCAAGACTGTCCTGTGGTCAGTAGCTCTGCCATTAAACCTTCTAATATGTATTCAATATGTTTTGGAGGCGCAGCAATCAAGCCACGGGCACGGTTCGATCCTGGCAGTCGGCGGTGATGGTCACCGTGTGCCAGCGATCAGACCGCAAGTACCTCGCACGGGGCACAAAACCCTACGGCAGAACATGTTGAAAAGTTGGTTGGTGCGTTTCGATGCAGTTCGACAACCGGGCGCACTAAACGGTAAAGACGGTCACACCGTCTCTGTGCGGATGGTAGCATTGTGGCTGCTGTTATGACAAGCGAATCACAACGAAGGAGCGCTCCCAACCCGCACAGATAACAGGTTGCTGTCCCATGCTCTTGGCTGTTGCCTGTTGCCACACGGTCCAAGAGGTAATCCGATGGATCAGGCCATTGTCCCGTTGCCTCAACGGGCCCAGCAGTCTGTATGAAGTGGCCCGGGTGAGTGGACGGCACTGTCAAAGGCGCGGGTGCTGACCAGTCCTCACTCTGAATGATAACAGCGGCCCAACCAGATCCATGCAAATTCCGTCCAGCGAAGGTGTGCAGACTGCACAGCTCTCGACTCACGTCGGACGACATCTCTCGACTTGCGTCGGATGACATCACCACTTCCCAGCAGTGGAGGCTAAAGTGAGAAGCGTGCTAGGGCAGCAGATCGGGTGCGGCATCTGGTTGGTAGGAGGAGACACTACAGCTGACCCGCCTGCCAGGGCTTTCTAGCAAGAGCAAGCCACCTATCTGCTCAAAATGAGCAGATTCTGCGAAGGATTCATTGGCGGCAGGCCCATCTATGGTCACTCTGAACAGACCGCTTGCGCCGTGGACAGCAACCACCCTTTCGGCAAATCCGCAGAAAGTGCCAACTGCGATTCCTACCGGACCAAGTGCAAATCTGTCATCATGGCCACCCAGTCGCACTCTGACGTGGAAAGGCTGAGAGCATCAGGCTCAGCCAAGAGACTTGGACGAAGATTTGGGAGCTTCATGCCTATTGCTGGTCAAGGACGGAAGAACGGTAGCTGCTCCCGTGGCAACTGAAGCGCGATCGGCATTACTGCGATGCATGTGCCGCTAATGTGACAAGGAGGTATATGCGCTCTTTCACTAGCGCATAATGAACCTGCTTGTCACATCATCCGTGCTTAGCTTTCATGACCTGACTGTGGCGAGGTTGTCATGCTGAGTCCGTTCCCTCCGCGCTTGCCGCCATGTGCAGATTTTGGAGAGGCATGTAATCTTACCTCTTACAACCTGTGAACCCCTAAACCGCAGAGTGCTGCGTCACCACGCTCAAGCCTATAGCCTAATTATGGACCTATGCACGACGGACTGCGGCAGCCCAAGGAACTGAATACGACGGGTGTGTCACACCTTTAGGGATGGCCTCCCAATCAGCCTACCAAATTCGGGCTATTGACTTTGAGAAACTCTTGGGGTTCAAGCGTGCCTGTTGCTGGTCGTCGGTCGTTCGGATAAGCCGGCTTTCAGGAAGCACCTCGGGCGAGCAACAGCGCCAGCTGCTAGCTACGCTGAACAGAGACTCAGCATAGCGCGGGTATCCCTCGTCGCAGGGTGGCACTAAGGTTCCCACACTCCCCGGAGTGTCGCAACACTGCTTTGGACTGTTCCCGAAAGGCGACACCTCGCCCTCAACAGCAGAACGTGCAGCGCTTCCCGAGCTTCCTGCTGAGGGCCCTTTGGCGGCTTCTGACCGTGCGCTTCCTAGCAGAAGAAGAGGCTTTCAAGCAGGTGTTTTGCCATTTCCGGCTGGGCAAAGATTGCTACAAGTATCTTCAGACTTACGTACTGCTCATGTTTGCCTCCACTACTTTGACTATGGCTTGAATCAGAAAAAAGGCCGGTATGCGCAGGAAAAGATTTCGTCCAGACTGCAGCTGCGAGCTTCTCAGCCCCCTTACGCTTTCGATTTCGGGTTATGGCCCATCACTGTAACAGAGTGTAGCGCTAGTACCCCTAAACCACGGGCACTTCTATCGAGACGGATACATAACAGAAAACTGCTAACCGCTAACCGAATTGCTGAAAAAACCGAAGAGGTCCGAAACCCAAGCGTTGGATCCGGATGTTCTGTGCAAAGAGGCTGAAGGACTCACATCCGGATCCGGCCCTAAGCTGATCCCTTCCCGAAGCCTCCACTAGCTCCATGTCGGTCTTGCGGATGGTCACCTTGCGGATCTGTTGGACTCTTCACTGGCTTCTATGGAATGCTGATGCCTGATCTTTTGAGGGAACTGGGTCTGCCCAGCAGAGGCGGCACGGCACCTGCAGCCTACCTGACCGAGCGCCCGGCCCAGCCACGGGGATCGAACTTGTCGTCCATGTCGGCAGAGGCCTTCATCGCAGTTGAGTGAAACGATAGCGGACCCATAACAGCCCCAACTGCAGCCCAGAAACCTCAATCCGAAATCGCCAATCCTGTATCAAACCACAAGATTGCCTCTGAATGCACATCTCAGGGCTTCGACAGGCGTTCGTCTTATGTGACAGCGGTAGGAGCTCTTTGAGACTTCAGGCCTGTTGGCTTCAAGACATCTGGCATAGTTAATCATTAACAAGATCGAGGGATGTCCACCCAAGACCATTCACATGCAAACCTGTCAACCCGAAGAACGTAGCCTCTCCCAGTCTGCGCAAGCGCAGCTTGTGGGTGCCGCTGTTGTGATACTCACGCTCCTGGCGAATGGTCTGCTGCAGTCCGAAAGGCAAGGAAACCTTAGGTTTTTAGTTTTCAAGTGAAAGACTTCAGCTTGCCCCTTCCTTGCCAAGCTCCAGCTCTTCGTTGTCGGGATCCGTCAGGGAGATGCCGGAGACGCCTAAGGCTTAGGGCCCCGCGCTGCAGGCGCTGGGGCTCGGAGGGCAGGTCGTGCTGCTGAGGATTCGGCCTTTGTCGTCAAACCAGCCGAGAACCTGCTTCGGGCTTCGGATATATACGTCTCGAAGAGGAGAGAGCCGACTCGCAGGAGACGACAGGCAGTGCCCAGGCCTTGAAATCTTTGGACCAGGTCTTCTCGGAATCGGAAGCATCGATTATCTGGAAGGTGTGCCAGCCTTTCAGCGAGGCTTCGGTCGAAGTGCAACTTTCAAGTGACGTCGTTCAGCGCGCACCGGACGCAAGCTGACAGAGAAGAAGATATCTTGAGCGTTGCAGCTGAACTGACTGCGTGGACCCGAGAAAAATTTAACACAGGCCGAGCAAAGGAGAACATCACAAACACAGGCCAGATGGGTTTGGCATCCTTGATAGCTGCCACATCAGCATTGCGGCTAAGACTACCCAGGGTGCATTGCTCAAGGAGAGCTTCCGCCTGTTTTGCTGCGTACGCACGCATCTCTTCGGTTTTGCCGGCCTCCCTTGGGGAGACTCGACCCTTGTGTCAATAAGGCGCTGGCAACTCTAGACACATCCACAAGCCGATCAATCAGACACATGGTGCCTTGCACAGCTCTCACTACAACTTGCAAAAATCGATGAGAAAAATTTAAAAGGTCTTAAAAAGCCTTCATTCCTGTAAACCCAAAACCTTAAACCTTAAACTATCCACCTTACCTTTCTGACTGATCCTTGAGTGTACCGGTGTACCGAACCGTCTGCAAGAGAATTTCAAAGAGAATGACTCTGCATGGGCATGGCCATGTGGGCTACCTGCTTGCACGCCGACGGGTCTCCTTCCAGGCCTGTCCTTGGTGTTGGCTACTCGGGAGGGAAACCGCCTCGAGAGTCTGGAGTTCCTTTAAAGAGCGATGGTGGCAGGAGGGCGTCATTCCTTCATTCCATACTAACCGTGTTACTAACAACAAACAAGCCTCTGTAGGAAGGCAGGGAGGTCGGCTCCCTTGGCAAAGTCAGCTGCGGTCCAGCGCCGGCAGTTCCGGAGCTCCAGATTGGCTCCAGAGGCGATCAGGACCGCGGCGAGCTGGTACTGTGCCGACCTCACCGCCGACATCAGCGGCGTGCTCTTGTGCGCGTGATAATAGAACAATAATGTCCTGCTGCCTCCGAGCCGGAATTGCAGGGACTTTACTCCATAGGCAAATCGGGCCAAGGGGGCCAACTGTCGCTTGGAGTCGAGCTGGAAGTTCACGTCAGCCCGCAAGCTGACGAGGCGCTGCACCACATCTGCAGACCCACACCGGGCATTCATAGCAACCCACAAGGCCTTGCTGAGTTCCAGCTGGCGAGGTTGGGTATTTAGGACCACGAACTCCAGTGCTGACAAGGCCCCATAAGCAGCTGCAGCCTCCAAGGTGTTCATGCCAAAGATGTTTTTGGCATCAGCCGGAGAGCCTGCTGCGCAGAGCAGGCGCATGCCCTCTACGTCGTCCATTCCTGCTGCCAAGATTACTGCATCAACCACTCCCCCCTTCACGCGGGCACCGGCAGAGATCAAGTATCGAGCTGCTTCGTGCTGCTTGTACAGGATTGCAATGTCCAGTGCAGACATCCAAGGTGGAGTGCCCAACGCGGGTACGCTCTTCGACGTCCTTCGGTTCACATCCACCTGCTGCTGCAGAAGGCCGTGGATCACCTCCATGTTGCCTGACAGCGCTGCGTAGTGTAGAGGGGCCCATCCTGATGTGTCAGCTTTATCAACCCTCCCAAAACCATTTTGGTGGAGAAACGCACGAACCACGTCTTGACCGTCAGAGCCAGCATCGAGATCGGGCAACAGGCCACTCACCGGCTTGATCCCTAACCCCCGGAAGTAGAAACACTGCATGTTGAGGTGGCGTCGGAAGGACGGCAAATCCTGCGATCGCAGGCAGTGATACAACTTATTCATCAGCAGCGTCTTCATGACGGGGGCCAGCTTCTGGCAATCTTCTTGCTTCGTGAATTCACCTTCTCCCACACATCCCGATGGAAACGAGGCTACGGTTCCGCACACTTCAATCATGGTGGAACTCTGAATCAAGATCCAGGTGCTGTCCGCGGACAACTCCCGTGCGACCCTTTCGAGGCGGCACCATCCCCGCTGTCCCCAAGTTGCACAGCTTAGGACCTTGTCTTCTTCTGAGCAGTCAATCACCGGGCAGAGAGCCATGAAATACTTGCACTTGGCAACGTATGCTGGGATGCTGTTGATCGCATCCGCCTGCTTGCTCCCGTCACTTTGGTCTGCTCCAAACGTCGACCGATCTTCCATCTGTGGAATGGAAAAATAGTCATACCACAGAAAGACAGAAGAGGATTGAAACTCGTGCAGCTGCAGTGGCTTTGCGCCGGGTACACCGGATTCCGTCGCGATGTCTAGAGGCACGCTCTTGCTTGCCAGGAGTTGCCTCAGCGCCTCCTGCAGCACGCGCATCTGCTTGAACTCAGGGTCTGGGTGTCGCTTGGACACCCACTGGTGCGACACCAGCGCCGCTCTCTTCGTCTCGCTCTCTTCGAAGACAGTGAGATCTCCCCGAGCCTCGGCAAATCAACGGTTTCGGAGCGTGGAATGCAATCCTAGAGGTACTCTCGCGGGACAAGTCCTTGTATGTTTTGATTTTTTGTGATTTTGAAGCCACGATCGGGTCACAGCACGCAAAGTCCTTGCATTTTCGCGGTTCCCCTCAGGCAGGGGTAGTGTCCCATAGCCCATAGGTGTCTTGCGCTGAGTCACCAATCCAACATAACGCATGACGCCGTGTCCCACAGGCCCCTTACGATTAGGGATGCATTCAATATCTGGCTTGGTTGCATGCCTTTGCTGCGTCCCACAGGCATTTAGCCATTGGGGGCCAATCCAACATCTGGATGGGTTACTCGAAGTTGATGCGTCCCATACAGGTAACCACGAAAGCCATACCTATGCGAGGGTTGATCAAAATTCGTTCGTCGGCAAATGGGTTTGTCATGGATTTGAGTATCATTTCGCGGAATTTAGCGCACCCTTTCGCCTGGCATTTTGCTGTAATCCGCGTGCTCTTGGGCTACATCATCGGTCTTCTAGTCTTTGCTGTCTCGTGCGTTGCCTCTTGTGATGTAGGGCTGCGAGACACAGCTGGAATTCGGTTGAACACTGTGGGACAAAAACAGCTACAATAGCAGCCGTAGCAGTAGCACGAAACGCAGCCGTGGCAGTAGTAGTGGCAATAGCAGCTAGCAGCATCAACAGCAGCAGCAGCAGTAGTTGTAGCAATAGTCGTTGTAGCGGGGCTAGTGGGGGGTGCTATTGATTTCCTCATGCACCGTTGCTACTTCTACAGCTAGTCCTGCCGGTGCTGCTCGGGGCCTTGCTGCTGTTTCTGCGACTGCTTCTCATGTATTGGTACTGCTGGCTGCTATTGCAACGTAAACTTCAAGAGGACTGCAATGCCGACGACTACTACTACTACTACTACTACGACTACTACTACGACTACTACTACGACTACTACGACTGCTACTACTACTACTACTACTACTACTACTACTACTGCTACTACCTAGTTCCCAGCGACTGTTCATACTACTACTAATTATTTGTTGAGGGAATGCTACTGCTACCAGTCCTCCCCTTCTGATGCTGCTGCTCTTGTTTCTACTGCTGCTGCCGCCGCTTCTTCTGTTGCTGTTATTCCTAATGCTACATCTACTGCGCGTGCGTGTGGCTGCCCGTCTTGCTATTCCGGCTTATACGGTTACTGCTAATAGGAGGGCTATGTTGATTGTAACGGTTCTGCTGAGCAGTAATCCTTGCAGTAGCAGTTGGAGTAACAGTAGTAGTTGTAGTAGCCAATACTGGTACTCGTATTAGAACTACTACTACTATCACTACGACTACCACTACTACTACTACTACTACTACTACTACTACTACTACTACTACTACTACTACTACTACTACTAACTACTACTACTACTAGGCGCGACGCTCCTAATTGATCGTGGTGTTTTCGGGCTTGGTGATGCTTGCTGAAGGCAGCTTTTATACTGTGTTTTACAGCACTTTCGCGTCATGGACCATATCATGCTGCGAACTCCTGAGGTCCAGAATTCCTGGGAAACTACTTGTTGGATGACGCAACAGGATCATAATTGATCGTGTGGTTCTTTTTGCTTGAGGTAACACCGAACGTGTTGAGAAGACGCGAAGTGCTGTAATTTACAGGACATCATGTGTCTAGGCAGCAGTGGATTTGCTCGTGCGCGGACTTTAGGCAATGCTACAAAAGCGGTGAAACTAGTTACTAGTTTTAGTGGCGTTTCGACGCGCAAAAGAACATGATCTCACTATTATATTACATCTCACGTGTTTCCCTGCATACGTACATACATCCATTGGAAGACAAACATCTATATACGTACTTGTGTAGACATACTCCGTGCTGTTGATTTCTTGGGTTCTCATCGGGAGAAGGACTGTTAGCAATCACGGAGAAAGCAGTAGGAGTAGGAGTTACAGGATGCTTTATTCATAGTTGTCTTGATGCATCGAAGAGGCTGCAGGATAGCAAGGCACTACAAGGGCCCTCAAGCAAGCAACACCATGCCGAAGACGTAAAACCCCAGGAGATCTATATATAAAGATATATAGATAGAAACATAGAGGAAAGTATACATATATATATGTACATAGTTTGCAATGTTCTCTTATATATGATATATATATATATATCATATATAAGAGAACATTGCTTGGACACGTATCAAATCTTTTGGCGGGTGCACTCATCGGACTCTGTTGCGCTGGAGTGAGAGTCTGAGATCTTGGTATTTATCCTTGACGATCCTGGGAAGTGTGTGGAAGAGTGCCATGTCGAAGCGCTGTCTGCCCCAGCAAGAGCGCTGGTTCGTTTGCGTCCGCGAGCGCCAGCCATTGCACACCAGAAAGATCTCGCCCGCGTGCCTGAGGACTGGGGATGCTTTTCTGTTTACGTGAAGCTTGAATGCTTCCTAGACGTATAGGACTCGTCGGCTTAATTCAGCGGTTATCTTATTTCGGGGCAAAGGAAATAGTGGGCAGATGTGGGCAGGGAAAATTGTGCTTCACAGGAGCCTGCCGCTGCTGTAGCAGTGTGGAGTGCATGCGCGCCCGCAATCTGGACAGCGACCCCACTTGACAGGCTTGCGCTCTTGCTGTATGCGGGGAATGTCAGAAAAGGTGTGGTCAGGCTCGAGTACAGGGCAGTTGCGAGCAGTATGCACGCGTTCTTCAGTACATTGCTGTTGCCAGGCTGCCATGTCTCTGAGCAGAGCTCTCTCCACGATATCTTCCTCCTGCAAGAACGGGTCCGTCGGAACAAAAGCGGAGCAATCTTCCTTTGTTGGTCTTCGAGGTTTAAGGTTGCAAGTTATGCTTAGGATTAAAATTTAGGGTTTAGGTATGTTTAGGGTGACGGCGCCTGTACGCGCCTATGTGTT